CAGCAGTTAGTGTAATGGCTATGTTGCTGGACTCCCACGTAGTCGACCGCGGTTTGCGTCCCGGATCCGGTGGCTTAAACTCACACCGGGCGCATGTGCTTGCGTGCCCAAGATCCCGATAGGAGAATGGAGGAAAAGGGATTGTGGCGTGGCCATCCCCTCTGGGGGGTGGTTTCTCACTTTCTGTCTCTCTGTCTTTCTGGCGAGCACACGCAAAAACCTATAGCAAAAACCTCTCCAAAAAAAAAAAATACCTCCCTCAAAAGTATTAAAATTAGATTAGTCCAGGGACCAACAGTTGGCGTAATGGCTATGTCTCTGGACTCCCATGTGGTCAACTGCGGTTCAAGTCCCAGATCTGGTGGCTTAAACTCATGCCGTCCATGTGTGCACGCGTGCTCAAGATCCAGAGAGGAGAATGGAGGAGAAGGGATTGAGGCATGGTCATCCCCTCTGGGGGGGGTGATTTCTCGCTTTCTGTCTCTCTGTCTCTCTCTGTCTGGCAAGCGCACGCACCCTATAGCAAAAACCTCTCCCAAAAAAAAGAAAAAATAAATAAAAGTCATAAAATTCTATTTCAACAGTTCAGTCTTACGTTCAATCTCTCTTCTGTTGAATTTGCAGTGTTACTGTGGTCCGATCTTTCCATTTCAAACTGTTGAAAAGCAACAACTGTTAAATCTTGGGAGTTAACATTCAATGTTATTATTGATATTTCTTGTCCCTAGCATTAAGTTGGTAATTTTCTTGGTTGCTTTTTGTTCTCTTATTTCTGTATGTGTGTCTTTAGTTTTCCTGGTAGAGCACTCCTTTTAAAACTTCTTGAAGAGTGGGTCTAGTATTTGGCACATTTTTTCAGGTCTTGTTTATCTGAGAATGTTTTTATCCTTTCTTTTCATATGAAGGATAATCTTGCTGTGTATAATATTCTTGGTTGAAACTGTTTTTCACTTAACACTTTGAATATATTTTTCCATTCTTTCCTTGCTCACATTATATCTAATGAGATGTCTGATTTTAGCCTGATGGGATAACCTTTAAAAGTAACCCAACGTTTCTATCTTGCCAATTTTAATATATTGTCTTTGTCTGTGGATTTTTGCCAATCTGGCTATGATGTGCCTTGGAGATCTTTCTGGGTTGATTCTATTAGGGGTCCTTTGTATTTCTTGGGTCTGGATATTTGAATGACTCTCTAGATTAGGAAAGTTTTCTTCTAGGATTTCATGGAATAGATTATCAATGCCCTTATTAGTTTCTTCACCTAGGATACTGATTATCTGGATGTTTGGGTGCTTAATTATGTCTAGTATTTCTTGTACAATATTCTCAATTTTGGGGGTTATTTTCTCACTTTTTTTTCCCCCTAGATCAGAGATTTTGCCTTCAACATCTGAGATTCGATCTTCTACATGGACTAATCTGCTTTTTTTTTTTTTTTTTTTTTGAGAGGTTTTTGCTATAAGGTACATGTGCTTGCCAGAAAGAGAGAGACAGAGAGACAGAAAGCGAGAAATCACTCCCCAGGGGGAATGACCATGCCACAATCCCTTCTCCTTCATTCTCCTCTCTGGATCTTGAACACGCATGCACACACGGACGGCATGAGTTTAAGCCACCAGATCCGGGACTCGAACTGCAGTTGACCACATGGGAGTCCGGCGACATAGCCATTACGCCAACTGTTGGTTCCTGGACTAATCTACTTTTAATACTTTTGAGGGAGGTGGTTTTTTTTTTTTTTGACAGGTTTTTGCTATGGGTTTTTTGCGCGCACTCGCCAGAAAGACAGAGAGACAGAAAGCAAGAAATCACCCCCCAGAGGGGATGGCCATGCTGCAATCCCTTCTCCTCCATTCTCCTCTCGGGATCTTGGGCACGCACGCACATGCGCCTGGCGTGAGTTTAAGCCGCCGGGTCCGGGACTCGAACCTTGGTCGACTACGTGGGAGTCCAGCGACATAGCCATTACGCTAACTGCTGGTCCCAAGGGAGGTTTTGATTTCCTGAATTGCAGCTTTCATCTCTAATAGCTCCATTTGATTCTTTTTTATGGTGTGTATTTCCTCTTTCAGATCACGCAAGAACTTCCTCACCTCCTGGAACTCATTGTCTCTTTTCTCCTGCATCTTCTGGAGTTCATTGTCTCTCAGCTTCTACATTTTGTTCAGTTTGGTCACTATGAATATTCTGAATTCTCTATCAGACATTTCCATGAATTCTACTGTACTATCTATGGATGACAAAGGATTGTTCTTTTCCCTTAAGGAAGAGACATTTTCTTGGTTTCTCATATGTTTTGTGCCTCTGTGGTGATTTCTGGTCATTCTGTGACAAAATCTCTCCTCCACTGTACTTTGTAAGGTGGTATCCACAGAAAGAGATTATGAGTTCAGATTTATAAAAATAAATTTCTTCCTTAAAGCAGGAAGTTCAATAAGCATTGGGGATTTCAATGACTCTAAAAATATTAAGATGCTTGGCTACTGCACACTTAGGCCTATTTAGACATTCAGTGTGTGGAGAGGGAAGAGCAGAGTGGGAAAATAAGGTTAAAAAAAAAAAAGGAAAAGAAAAAATCTAGGCAAAAGCGACCAAAAGAGAGTACAAAAAAAAATTTTTTTTTTTAAGTGAAAAATGAAAAGTGCGTAGCACCAGAACACACCTCAGCTTTAAAATAGCTTCTGAAAGGAACCAGCAGTTAACGTAATGGTTATGTTGCTGGACTCCCACGTAGTCGACTACGGTTCGCATCTCGGACCCAGTGGCTTAAATCTTACGCTGGGCGCGTGTGCGTGCGTGCCCAAGATCCTGAGAGGAGAATGGAGGAGAAGGGGTTACAGCATGACCATCCCCACTGGGGGGTGATTTCTCGCTTTCTGTCTCTCTGTCTCTCTCTGTCTGTCTGGCGAGCGCATGCGCCCTATAGCGAAAACCTCTCAAAAAAAAAAAATAGCTTCTGAAATTAGCAAGAGAAAGAAAAGGTCCAAGATGAGGAGAAATGGTTTAAAGTTTTTTTTTAAAATTTAAAAATTTGAAAAATAGAAATAGAGAGCACGTGAGACAGACAGACAGACACAGACAGACAGAGGACAGAGGTCGCCCTACCTTGTTTGAGTATTTCAGGAGTCTAGAAGATGGAGTTTAAAGCATAGCTTCCCTGAACACACCAGGACGCACCTCAGGCTTAAAATCGCTTCTTGTCTGAGTATTTCGGGAGTCTATTGATGTTTTCATGATCCCACATATTATGTGGAATCTTAAAAAGATTGGGTTTATAGAATTAGAGAATAGAATGGTAGTTACCAGAGGTTAGGAAGAGAGTGAGGGAGGGAATTAAGAGGTGTTTGTGGAAGGTACAAAGTTTCAGTTAGACAGGAGGAATGAATTTTTGAGATCTATAGGATTTTGACTATAGTCAATAATAATGTACTGTATATTTCAAAATAGTAAATTTCAAATATCTCAGCATGAAAAGTGATAAATAAGGTCTAGCACCTTTGGCGCAGGTGATAGAGTACTGATCTGCAGTGCTGGAAGCCACATGGCTGACTGGGAGTTTGGAACCTTTGTCGATCTGAAACATTCTGGGTACATATGTCCAAGATCTTGACTAATTAGAGGGCAGGGAGAAGGGGATTGCAGCATGATAGACCCTGTTGAGGGTGCCTGTCTTTCTCTCAGTAAACTTAAAAAGATAAATAAAGCAGGGGGTGGATATGTTAATAAGCCTGATTTAATCATTTCACATTGTGTTTTTGTATCAAAGCATCACATTGTGCTCCCTAAATGTATGCATTATGATTTGTCTATTAAAAATAATATTAATTGGGGCTAGCAGGTGGCATAGTGGTTAAGGCACTGGACTCCCACATGGCCCATTGTGGTTCAAGTGCTGGACCTGGTGGCTTGAAACTCATGCCAGGTGCATGTGTTTGCATTACCAAAATTCTAGGAAGAAAATAGAGAAGGAATTGCGGCATGGCCATCCCTTCAGGGGATGATTTCTCACTTTCCCTTTCTCTGTCTGTCTCTTGTGAGTGAATGTGCCCTATGGCAAAAATCTTAATAATATTAACTTAGGGCTGGCTTTGTGGTGCAGTGGAAATGTGCTACATAAGAGAAGCTAAATTCTACAGGACAACTGTAGTTTGAATCTCCAGTCTTGTCAGCACAAAATATTCCATGCACACATGTGAATATCTATATGCCATGGGCTAGAGGAAGGGTATTGCAGCATTATCAGACCTCTATAGGGCCCATGTGCTCACCAGAGAGACAAAGAGAGAGACAAAATGAGAAATTACCCCCAAGGGGGATTTCCATGCCTCAATCCCTCCTTCTCCATTCTCCTCTTGAGATTTTGGGCACGCATGCACATGCGCCTGATATAAGAGTTAAGCCACTGGGTCCAGGGCTTGAACTGTGGTTGACTACATGGGAGTCCAGGGATATAACCATTATGCCATCTGCTGGTCCCTTGTTTTAAAGAATTTATAAAACAAGAATATTCTTTTCCTTTAAGGATTGGGTATGGAAGTTTTTCTTCTTTTTTTTTAGTGTTTTGTTTTTGTTTTGTACAGAGTATATGCGCTTGCTGGAAAGAGACAGAGAGAGAGGGAAAGTGAGAAATCATCTCCCGGGGGATGGCCACTCCAAAATCCCTTCTCCTCCATTTTCCTCTCAGAATTTTGGACATACATACAGACATTCCCAGCATATTTTTTAAGCTATCAGCCAGGTCCCATACTCGAACCATGCAGTAAGCCTTGTGGGATCCAGCTGCCTTAACCACCATGACACCTACTGTCCTGGAAGTTTTTCTTCTTGTTGTTGTTTTCCCCCTAAGGCAGGGTCTGCTATGTTGCACTTGCTGACTTTGAACTCATGATCCTCCTGCCTTAGCTTCCTGGGATTACAGCGACCACCAAACCTACCTTAGAAGTTTTCATCTCTATCCTGACTATGTTACATCTCATACCTTGTTTATTGTTTTGCAGATCAGATTTAATTTCAGTGTAAAGGTAAATGGAATCATCTCCACAGAGATCTTTGAGTAAGTCCTTAAATTCCCAGCCTAAGATGACGCCATGTCTCTACAATTGTTCTCAGCCATTATTGTCCCATTTCCAGTAGGTTCATAGTTTTGTTGTTTTGTTTTGTTTTGTTTTGACCCAGAGACACCTTGAAACTAATTTTCTATGGCTTCCATATTTTCCTATTTTATATTAGCTTTTAATGAGCAAGTTAATTCATCTAAACCTTTTATGTCTTTCCCTTTCACTGGATGGGGTAAGCTTAATAATTGCCTTTTTTCTCCTGGATTAAATGGTTACTGAATCCTTGTAATTGCTAGGGTGATATTAATTATGGGCCAAAATTTGTATCAAGCAGAGACTGATTCTTCAAATCTTTGAGATGGCTAAATTCTTGTTTGGTTCTGTTTTTGCTTTGCAGGATGGAAAATGAACCCACTTTGAACCTGTTGAATGGAATTGCTCTTGTTGTAAACTATCAGCATTATTGGAGGTGAAGGCAAAAAGCATTGTCTCTCTCCATGGTTTACTCTCCCATTATAAGTATGAATGTGGGCAGAAACTGAAAATGATCTCACTTGTTTTTTTTAAGAGCCAGGTGTCAGCTTCTCTGTAATAAAAGTAAAATACTTTTAAGTTATTTGTGTTGAAAACTGTTATTATTCTTGGCTCCTTGAATATATTCTAATTGAGCAGAAGAAAGTTCCTTCTCCCCTCCATGCCCATTTTCTTCTGTAAATGAAATGAAACAAACCCTTCTAATTCTAGTCCTATTTAGACATGAGAAGAGACAATTGTGAATTTAAAAGTTTACTTGAACTCTTGGCAAGAGAGATGCTATGAGTACAAAGAAATTCATTGTGCATTATTTTTTGTGTGCTAGCATTTTGTATTGGTTTGGAAATCATTTATCCCCCATCTCTGACTTCTTCAGACTCCAAAAATATAAATCCATGGAGAAGTTGGTGAATATGGGACAAACGGAATCCTTCTGCCTTATCTTCCCATGCCGTCCAACTACCACAAAATGCAAAGGGAACATGGATTATATATATTTAAAAAAGACTTTGAGAATAAGAAACTGCCTTTAGTAGCAGCAAAGTAGGAGCCATGATACCATCTCTGAAATGCCAATTTTCTACTCTTTACATTGCTGTTATTCTCTGAGTGGGAAACAAGTTACTTACTCCAACAAAACCTCTGTGATTGGTTATATGGTTATGCATGTGCTAGAGGTTATAAAAGAAATTTTGAATGTTATTTAAAATAATTTCTTAAGAGAGGAAAAAAGTTACATTTGTCTGTTTTCTGACAGTAGACCAAAATTCAGTACAACCAAATCGCACTGTGACAGAATCCACCCTGTACTAGGACATCCAGTAACACTTTGCATTCCTGATGATGTGGCTGGCTTAGACTTATTGGAAGGACTGATACTGACTCCAGCTGCTGCTCTGTGCCCCAACCCGAAGGTCTTTTGCAACCAGCTGAATAGGATTTCTTCAATTTCCATATCCTTTTGCTGACAAATTCCATTCAATTGTCTTTGAAAATGGGTTCAGGGACCAGCGGATGGTGTAGTAGTTTATGTTGCTAGACTCCACAGGGCTGATCATGTTCAAGTCCTAGACCTGGTGGCTTAAAAATCACACTAGGTGTGTGTGCATGTGTGTCCAAGATCCCAGGAGGAGAATGGAGGAGAAGGGGTTGTGGTACGGCCAACCTCCCCGGGGGGTGATTTCTCGCTTTCCCTCTCACTGTCTCTGTCTCTGTCTATGGCAAGCACACATGTCCTATAGCAAACACTTGTAAAAAAAAAAAAAAGAAAAAACGGGTTCATATATTTCAGTTTTAGGAACTCATTTAGTAGTACATGAATTCTGCATTTAAAAACATATATTTGTAAAAACATATAGTCCAATATTAAAGCCAACAATGTTGCTGGGGAACTAAAAATTATAAAATGTACATGTGCCACATGTTTTTCATATAGTCCAACATGACTGAAGCATGGAATGAATGTTGTCAAGAGGAAAAGATGAGGCTGGAAAAGCAGTTAGGAGTTGAATATTGTAGATCCTTAGTGCTACACTAAGGAGTGTGAACTGGATTCTTTGTATAGAGAAAAATCATGGATGTTTTGGCAGGATTCTCTTGAGGCTTATTCAGGATGGATAGGACAAGGAAGTTAATTAAATAAATAGTAAATGAACTTGGTTAGGAGATAAAGAGTGCCTGAACTAAAAGTGGGAGACATGGAAAGATAAGATTCGTCACTGGAGGAAGTCAGGGTGACCAATTCATTATTGTCGTCAAGGGAAACTAGGGACAGAGAATGCCTAAAGCCGATGTCAAGCTAGGAATAGTGCTACTTGGGAGGCTGAGACAGAAGGATTGTGAGTTTAAAAAGAAAAAACTTGATAGGGCAACTTGTGGTATGTTGGTTATGGTGGCTGGATCCCATATGGCCCACTGTGTGATTTGAGTCCCAGACCTGGTAGCTTGAAAAACATGCTGAGTGCGTGTGCTTGCATGCCCAAAATCCCAAGAGATTGGAGGAGAAGGGATTGTGTATCCATCCCTCCACGGGGTTGATTTCTCATTTTCCTTCTGTTTCCCTCTCCAGCAAGTGCAACTGCCCTATAGTGGGGGGTGGGGGGGAGTGATGTCAAGATTTCTATGTTCAGAATAAGCAAAGTTTCGGGAACCAGCAGTTAGCGTAATGGCTATGTTGCTGGACTCCCACATAGTCGACTGTGGTTCGCGTCCGAGACCCGGTGGTTTAAAACTCACGCTGGGCACGTGTGCGTGCATGCCCAAGATCTCGAGAGGAAAATGGAAGAGAAGGGATTGTGGCGTGACCATCCTCCCTGGTGGGTGATTTCTCACTTTCTGTCTCTATGTCTCTGTCTGTCTGTCTGGCGAGCGCACGCACCCTATGGTGAAAATCTCTCAAAAAAAAAAAAAAAGCAAAGTTTCTTTTTGGGGTGATGAGATGTTCTAAAATTGATCATAGTAATGGTTACACAACTCTTTGAAATGCTAAAACCTGCTTGCTTATATATTTTTAATAGGCGAATTGTATGGTATATGAATTATATGCTATTAAAAATATTTTCATGGATGGCTACAGAATAAAGTTACTGTCAACAAGATTCAAAGTTTTAATAGATTAGGGAGAAAAGGAGATGAATTTGGGGGACCAGCAGTTAGCATAATGGCTATGTCGCTGGACTCCCATGTAGTTGACCATGGTTTGAGTCCCGGACCCGGTGGCTTAAACTCACGCTGGGTGCGTGTGTGTGTGTGCCTAAAATCCCGAGAGGAGAATGAAGGAGAAGGGATTTCGACGTGGCCATCCCCTCTGGGAGGTGATTTCTTGCTTTCTATCTCTCTGTCTCTCTCTGTCTTTCTGGCAGCGCACACACCCAATAAGAAAAAACCTCTTCAAAAAAAAAAGATGATGAATTTGTCTTTAAATATGTTTAATGTATGGTGCTTGCAGGACATCCTTTGAAGATGGCAAACTACTATATAGAAATTTTAGTCTGAAACTTGGAAGTGGTCAGATACAGAGATACAGATTTTTAATAAAGTCTTAGTTTTCTCCTCAGGTAAGTGTAGTATAGTGTTGTGTTTCGAACATGACACAGGAGTGTAACTTTTGGAGTCACTACTAATAAGCCACATAAGCAATTTACATGACTCAGTTTTAAATGGGGAATGTAGGGGGCCAGATGGTGGCACAGTGGTAAAACGTGATGCTCTGTGAGCTGACCTACTTGGGAAAGTTCCAGGTTTGTGTCTGGAGACCACTGAGTACACCAGGCACGTGTGTGCTTATGATTCTGAGGTGGAGGGCAGATCTCAATGTCAAGACTCTGTAGGAATGTGTGCTCTCTCTCTCTCTCATTTATAGAAGAAATAATAAATAAACTTAACATTGTTTTTTTAAATTGAGATAATAATACTTCATAGATTTGTTGTTGATTTTTTTCTCTCCCAAAGGTTGTTTTTTAGTTCTGGGAAGTTTGTATGTTTTCAAGAATTAACTGTAATAATCCATGAAACTTTTAGCACATTGCCTAACACAGAATAAGTGCTCAATAAATATTAGCTATTACTATATGATCAAAAATGTAGGAGTAAATGAAGTTATAGGAGAATATAAAGAATGAGAACAAGGAAGCTGGCAGGTGGTATGGTGGTTAAAGGTGCTGGACACTCACATGGCCAATTATGGTTCAAGTCCTGGATCTGGTGGCTTGCTTTCTCACTTTCCCTTTCTCTCTCTGTCTCTCCCTGGCCAAATTAAAGAATAATAATAATAAAGTTAAATAAAATAATTCTTTAAGAAAAAAAGAATGAGAACAACAACAACAAAAGAATAGGAACAGAAGAGGCATGGAATAACAGATGTTAGCTGAGAGTATGGCTTTTTTTTTTTAAAGTTAATTCCATGAGAGAGAGGAATTAGAGAGAGACAGAAAAACAAGTTCTTCACACATTGATCAAGCTGCAATGAGGCTTCACACATTGATCCAAGCCCCAACCTTAGCCAGGAAAGATCACAGGCAGGGCACATTGCACAAGGGATATGAACCTGGGACCTTTCCATATGGTCTCAGTTACCTGAGTGTTTGTTGTCATCGTGCCACTGTGACTGGCCAACTGAGAATATCTGTTAAGGAAGCAGAGGAGCAGGATATTGATAAAGACTGCATGGACATTTTATATTTTAAAATATCACACTGGGCACATCTGAAAGTACCCTAGATTCAGCAGGCTGGAAGACTAGCGGGAGGGAATTGCAGTATGACCAAAGCCTGTGTAGAGTGCTGCTTTCTCTCACACTCTTGTCTCTCTTTCTGTCTCTCTCATACTCTTATCACTATATCATGAATACAAAAGTAATTTATATTTTGGGGCCAGCAGGTGGTCTGATGGTTAATGTCCTGGACTCCCACATGATGAACCACAGTTTGAGTCCTGGACCTGGCAGCTTGAAAATCACACTGGGCATGTGTGTGTACATGCCCAAAATCCCAGGAGGAGAATGGAGAAGGGATTGTAGCAAGACAATCCCCCTGGGAGGTGGTTTTTCACTTTAACTCTCACTGTCTGTCTCTGGCGAGCACACACACTCTGTGATGAAATCTCTTAAAAATACATAAATAAAATAAATATCTACATAGTACAGAAGAGTATAAAATGAAGTTTCTTTTTCCTTCTCATTTTATTCTCTAGAAGGAATGAGACAAATTTGCTTTCCATTCAGATTTCTTTTATTTCAGTGGGAAAATTTAACAAATAAATAGATAATAGGTAGTAATAAGTGCAGTGAAGATATTTTTTTAAAAAGCAGGTTAAGTGACAGAATAATGAGGAGGTTATTTATTTATTTATTTATTTATTTATTTATTTATATAGAGAGATTTTTGCTATAGGGAATGTAAGCTCAATGGAGAGGCAGAAAGATAGAAAGCAAGAAATCACACCCCAGGAGGTATGGCCACGCCACAGTCCCTGCTCCTTCATTCTCTCTTGGGATTTTGGGCACATGTGCCCGGCATGAGTTTGAAGCCACTGGGTCCAGGACTCAAACTGCAGTTGGCTATATGGGAGTTCAGCGAAGTAACCATTATGGCGTCTGCTAGTTCCAAGGATGTTATTTTAAATATGATCTGTGAAGACTGTGAGGAGGTGATATTTTAATGATGAGAGAACTAGCTATGAAAATTGCGGTGGGATTTCGGTTTCTGAAAATGTCAAACTTGGTAAAAAAAATTACTAGGACTCTGGATGTTGATGATATCAGGCACTGATTTAAAAAATTAAAAAAAAAACCTGTTTACTGTATTTTAAAAAATGGAACTGTCAATACAAAATACAAAAGGGTTTTATTTGGGAATAATATATAAAAATTAGAATTGTAATCCAGAGTGTGCACACACACACACGTGCGCGCACGCACACACACACACACACACACACAGTCTGGGGTAGTCTGTATTATGTCAGAGAACAAAAGAAAAAGTTGAGGTTTTATCGGGAAAGAGAAAAGTTACTTAAATTGTTTTGAAAGTAGTTTTAAAATTAGTTTTGAAATTAGTACTTGTGGCAGTCTACAGGAGCTTGTGAGCTCTGGTTACTGAGTTTCGCTAGGTAAAACTTGTTGTACAGTCATGGTCTTATGAAACAGTTTGTGGTTCAGTGATTTGTGACCTGAGTGCTCCCCCACCCCCCGCCCCTGCCTTTCTACTTTATTAGTTATAACAAGATTAAGATAATCAGTTTTCACAAAAGCCACGTTTGAAAATTTTACTAGGAAACTCAAAGCTATAAAATGTGACATAGCTTTAACAGCAACCAAACAGAAATCGTGGAACCAAAACATATCTTGGATAATGCATTTTATGAAAAAACTACGCATAGATTTCAATGTTTTGCACTAAAATAAGCTTGTACATTAATTTCATTTTTTATAAATTTTTTGAAGTACCCTCATACAATAACCTATACTTAAATTCAATATGCAGGGTTGTTTTGTTTTGTTTTTGTTTTGCCAGAGGGTTCTTACCAGAGAGAGATGGAGAAACAGAGAGGGAAAATGAGAAAACATCCTCCACAGGGAATGGTCATGCAGCAATCCCTTCTCTTCCATTTCTCCATCCTTTTGGAATTGTGACCCTATGTGTTCTTCAAGTTGCTAAGTCCAGGAATTAAATTATGCAGTTATCTATGTGGAATCCAGCTGCCATAACCACCATGCCATCATGGCCCAGTAAACAAATTTAACAGCACATTAGATACAACCTTAGTGAATTTGAAAACTGAAAGATAAGGATAGCAAAAACTTAGCAAAATAAAACAAAGAGAGGCAAAAGGTTGGAAAACACAGAAGAGATGTTAACTACTGTTTTCTACTGAGGAAACAGTAAAACTGTCTCATGTATATTTATTTCATGTCCCAATTGAGAAAAGAGAAATTAGGGAAGAAACAATATTTGATGAGTTAATGACTGAAAAACTAAAACAGATTTAAGGACTCAACAATCAAGTAGGATAAGTAAAAAGATATTCATACATGTAGAAGACAAAAACAAAGAAAAATATTAAATTTTTAAAAACAAAGAAAAATATTAAATTAGGGAAGTCAGATAACTTTCAAAAGAGAAATTGACAGCTGACTGTTCTATACCAATAGAAGGTGGTAAACTAAGAGTGTTAATGTCTTGAAGTAAAAATAATCATAAACCTAGAATTTCACACCTGACAAAAATATTTCTTGAGATGAAATCTACATATTTATTATGTTAATGTCATAATCTATCTAGCAAGAAAAATTAATTTTGGTCAGCTGGTGGCATGGAATTTAAGATAGCTTGATCCCACATGACTGACTACATAGTTTAAGTTCCAGATCTAGCAGATAGAAAAACATGCCAGGCACATGTGCATGCATGCCTGAAATCCCAAGAGGAGAGTAGTGAGGAATTACAGTGTAGCCATCCTGGGAGGTGCTTTCTTACTTTCCCTCTCTCTATGGCAAATATACAAACCCTATAGCATATTTTTTAAAAATTATCTATTTATTTGTTGTGATTTTCAAGCCACCAAGTCCAGTACTCAAACCTTAGTCAGCCGTATGAGAATCTAGTGCCTTAACCACCTTGCCACCTGCTGGCCCCAGCTACAGTGAATTTTTAAAAAAATTACTTCAACTGACTTTAGTACCTAATTTATTTTTTTCATTTTTCCCTCCTAGTGGGTTGTAATTACACTGGAATCCCCTCTCCTCCATTTCTCCATCCAGTTGGGATTTTGGGCACACACAGGCATGCACCTGGCATGCTTTTGAAAACAGTGGGACTGTAACTTGAACTGCATGACTGGCATATTGGATCTGGCCCTCTGGCTTTCCTAACCACCATGCACAGGGCTGTTCTTAGTTTTGACTGTCTTTTTTTTTTTTTTTTTAGGAATTATTTAATTTTATTCATCATTAATTTGACCAGAGAGAGATGGATATAGAGAGGCAAAGTGAGAAAATAAGCCACAAGATCCAAGACTCTAACCACAGTCAGCTATGTGAGAGTCCAGTGCCTAAACCACTACACCATTTGTTGGTCATCTGTTGGTCCCATTAACTGTACATGTGGGATACACTCTAAGGATGAAACTAATTTCAAAGAACATTTTTCTTTTTTTAGTTTTTTTGCCATAGGGTACATGAGCTTGCTGGAGAGAGACAGAGGGGGAATGTGAAAAATTACCCCCCTGTGGGGATGACCATGTCTCAATCCCTTCTCCTTCAGTTTCCTTTGGGGATTTTGGGCACATACACATACACATGCCCAACGTGATTTTTCAAGCCACTGAATCTGATATTCAAACCATAGTCAACCATGTGGGAGGTTAGCATCTTAACCACTATGTCACCTACCAGGCCTCAAAGGACTCTTAAAATTCATTTACTGGCTGGCTGGCTGGCTGGCTTGCTTTCTTTCTTTCTTTTTTCTTTCTTTCTTTCTTTCTTTCTTTCTTTCTTTCTTTCTTTGTTAATTGCCAGTGGACACATGAACTCACCAGAGAGAGGGAGAAGAATCTTCCCAGTGGGACATGGTCATTGCCATAGATTCTTCATTTCTCCCTTCTGTTGGGATTATGGACATGCACTCATGTGTGCCTTGTGTGTTTTTCAAGCTTCAGGGGCTAGGATTCAAATCATGATGGGACATGTGGGATCTGATCCTCTTAGCCACTAGGTTATGGTTTTAGTCCATTCAGTGGTCTTGACTATGAGTAAGAATATTGGTATTTTACATGGAAATTGTTATGTACATACTGATGATAAAACAAGTAATGTTAACATTGTTAGGAACCAACATTTTCAATATCAGATAGAAGATACCTAAATCTTAGTCTGTTATTGTGTTGCTAAACAGAAATACCCAAGGCAGCATAATTTATAAAGAATAGAGGTTTATTTGGTTCTGGTGGCTGGAAAGTCCAGAGATGTTGGGCTAGTTTCAAAATGTGTTGGACAGAAGCAGAAAGGTAATGTGGAAAGAGAGAGAATAACCTGTTGTCTGTCATCTTTTTTTTTCCCCAGAGGGTATATGTGGTTGCCAGAGGATATGTGTGGTCCCTGGAGAGAAACAGAAAGAGAGAGATGGAGGCACCCCTATGGAGGGTGGTCATGCCACAGTCTCATCTCTGTTTTTCTCTCCTTTCAGGATATTGGGCACATAAGCACACACAGGCTTTGTGTTTTTCAGGCTGATGGGTCTGGGACTAGAACTGCACAGTCAGTCACATGGAATCCAGTTACCTTAATCACCATGTCATGGGCTGTATCATCATCTTATTTTTATAACAAACCATAAAAGCAGTAACTCCTTCCTTCCCTTGAGGCACTATTAACATATTCATGAGAAGGCCAAATCTGTGGCCTGGTGGTTAAGGGAGCTGGATCCCACATGGCTTACTATGGAGTGTGAGTCCTGGTCCTGAAGACTTGAATAAACATGTCAGGCACAAAATCACAGCAGGAAGAAGAGGTGAAGGAGAAGAAAAAAGAAAAACAGTACTTCTTAACTTGTGATTTTTGCCCTCAGAGGATATTTGGCAATGTTTGGAGGTATATAAGAGGGAAAGTGAGAAATCACTGCCCCCACCCCCACAGGAGATGGCCACACCACAGTCCCTTCTCTACTCTCCTCTTAGAATCACATGTGCCCCAAATGATTGAACCACAGTCAACCATGCAGGAGTCCAGTGACGTAACCACTACACCATCTGCTGGCCCCACATCTGGAGACATTTAAATTGTCATGGAGGGGGTCATGTCAGGAGCGGTGCTATTTTCATCTAGGATTGAGGCTACTGAATATTTAGTGCACAGGACAGCCCCTAGAATGAAGAATTATTGAGCCCAAAGTGTCAATAATCCTGAAGTTGAGGAAATTTAGGTAGAGGGAGGAAGTCCTGAGAAGGAAACCATTTCAGGAGCTTTTTTTTTTTTTTTTTTTTTTAGAGAGAGATT